CCAGCTGTCCGCAGCCTCCCTCTCTGCCCACCCAAGGGTCCACCCTCCACCTGCTCCACCAACCTGGGCATGCCCAGGCTGCCACAGCCCACAACCACGAGGAGAAAACTCCCCAGTTTAGCATCAGGAGCTCCACTTCCCTGCAAGGTCTTGCCTCAGCAGAATCAAACTGCCCCATCTCCAGGACAAGCTGGGCTCTGCTGCCAAGGAAAACAGGTCTCTTCACTGGAAGCAGGACTCTGAGCACAGCCCAGGCGTGGCCGGAGCATCGGGGGTCCCAAGGCTCTTCCCCGCGCCCCACAGACCACTCTGTGCACTCTGTGTTATCAAGACAACACGCAGCAGCCCTGCTCTGACCCCGGGGAGGTGCACAGTGTTTGCCCACCACGAGAAAAGCCTGGAAAGAGCTAGAGGGAAGACAACCAAGTCACACAAAAGAGAGGGGATGATGTTTTTAGGGCAGGGAGAACTTAAAATAATTTGGGGGTGAAAATAGACGGGTCTCCATCCTGAAGCTATCACTTTTTTCAGGAATTGCACTACAAAGGATGAACGCAGGGCTCCCACAACTACCCCCCAGCCCCAGCTCCCAGCACTTGCACAGACTGGCCTCCCAGCATGGGGTGCGCAACTGGGTGGAAAACATCCTTGTTAGTGTAATCGCCTCCCGTCCCTCCACCTCAAGGGTGCTGCACCCATGACACCATCACACTGCGCTCACAGGGACGTGCCACGCACCGCTGCCTGTCCCCTGCCCACACAGCAGGTAAGCCAAACTCAAGGGGGCTGGTGCACAGGGACCCCCTTCTCTCTTCTCCCCAGCACCCCAACCTCCCCTTTACCTCTCCAGCTCTTCACCCCCTTTTCCCCCCCCCCTGGACAGCTTTCCAGCCAGTTCCCCCTTCCCTCTGCCCAACCCTCCTACTCCCAGTTTCCTGCCATTTCCACACCCATCCCGACCCTGCTGCCTGGCCCCCGCTCCAGGGGTCCCCCAGCCGCTGACACCCAATGACTCTGACACCCTCAGAGCCGCACCAGTCCCCTCCTTCCCCTCCTGCTCCTTCCATCACCTTGCCTCCCCGGGACCCCCGGCCCCTGCCCACTTCTCAGCACACCCCTCCCCACCAAACCTTTACCTCTCCAGCTGCTTCCTGGCAGGAACCGAGATGTGCTTTGCACCCACCTGGAGCAAACCGTGGGTTTGGCTTTCCCAGGTAATTTGCTTTCCCATGGCCCCAAGAAACAGAAGCAAAACTCAGGCTGCAAAATGCCGAGAGCAGCTCACAGGCCCGCCGATGGGCTGCATGGCCTCGTCGAATGGGGAGGGATGCGTCCTGGTGCACTTCACCTTGTCACCAGGAGTTTGTGTCAGCGGCAGCCCGGAGAGCTACAAAGCTGCCGCTTAACGCGCCCCGCCGGCTCCCGAAGCAGCACAGCGGGAACACTACGCTACAATTAGCCACAATTGTTTTACTGGCTGCTGCTTCAGCAATTTATAGGCTCCAGGTTAAAGGCTCATTCAGCAGCACTGTCATTGCCACCCCTCCAAACACGTCCTCTGCAAGCTGGATTGGAAATAATTAAACATGAGATTTGGTTCGGATCTCAAAGGTACGCCAATAAAAAGCGCAAATGCTGAAAATTATCCCCAGGTGCAGACTGCTTGATGCAAAAATCAAAACGTTTCACAACACAAAAGAGTTTTAATTCTCAATCGCTCTATGACAGGCAGCCAAGTCCTCCTCTTGCTAGCTATCACTGCCAGTTCACGACTGCACAAGAGACAACTGCGTTCCCTACAGAAGCTGCAAGCAGTGCAAAAGGAGTTTATCACGGCAACGTTTTCCAAGACTTAACAGCTAAAGCACACCACCACCAATTTCAGCTTCCATCCACCGCACTTGGAATTGGATGCTCCCTCTCAAAGGAGACCGTGCAGTTACCCACACTTTGCTAATACCATTTCCCCACGCACTCATGCAAAGGCAGATTTGCACCTGCAAGTACCGCTTGCAGCGTCTGCATTGTCCCAGTCCCCCACGGCTGGTCTGTGAAACCGGGGCTGTTTGCCCAGGTGGGATTACAGTCCCCCAAAACGGCGACAAACAAACTTGAAGGACACGCTGGGGGGGGACGGACCCCAGCACCGGGGATTCAGGAGAAACGCGGCTTTTCCCCGACAGCAATCGCA